CACACACACACACACACACACACACACACACACACACACACACACACACACACACACACACACACACACACACACACACACACAATTTCAGGTGACTACAACTGTTAGTTGATTTCTACAACTTCTTCTTAACCTAATCTGAGATGGTAGCTAACTTTACAAATCTGTTAAAAAACTAGGCCGAACCCTGAAGTTGTTTCACTGAACCCTCAGTAATGCTTCATGCTACTGGCCTCTGAGAAAGACTTTAGAGCACAGCACCTACAATGTTGGTGTTCTGTTTGGTGACTTAACCTCACAATGCAGCTGTAACAGGTTAGAGTTCGATGAGGCTTCACGTGCCACTTCTTGATCAACAACATTTGGTTTGTGAGAACAGGAATGCCAGAAGAAGCTGGATCACAAACTGTCTCTGGATGCCTACCTGCTGAAGCCTGTCCAGAGGATCACCAAATACCAACTCATGCTGAAGGTGTGTTATGTGGTTATAAGATGTAATTTAAAAGGAACTAACCAATTAGTTCAGTACATTAATGTTATTTTTTATTCTTTGTATTTATTAGGCTAGTTATCATGCTTCTAATAGATATCCAGTCTCTATTTACCATGAATAATTTAATTTAAAAGATAATTAAACAACCAAGTATTTGATTTTTCTTCTTTTTTTGGTCAGCCTAACCAAAAAAAAAACATTTTTACTTTTTATAAAATATAACAGAAGCAAGAATATGAAAAACCTTTTATTAGTCACTTACATTTCATCCTGAACCTAAAGAAAAACCTTCATCACCACTGAAGCTTGCTAAGTCATTGATTTCATTTATTTTAAGTAAAAAAAAAAAATTCCCATTGAGTCAATTGTTGGTGAGAATGGAAAATAAAGAAAGAAAAAGAAACCTGTGACACAACCAGAGTGATGGTTTATTCAATACTAGAGGAACTGTTCCTGGAAAATGAGCTGATATCCACAACGTGATAGCCCTGTTATCTCAGTCTGTGTTTATTATTAATTCTGCCTTTCACCTGCATCTTCTCTCCTCCCCTTCTCCTCTCCTCCTCTTTGGGACTTTAGAAATATTGATATCCAGTCAATTCAGTCCAAATAATTATACAATTCGCATAACCCAAGAAATGATATGAACTGTTATATTTATGGCAAGAAATTCGCCATTATCTTAAACAAATGTTGGGTGAAATATTAGCCATGTTCAATGTAGCAATGTGGAACTGTTGTAGCATTTCGAATAATCTGATGGCTTTTTCATTGGGCCATTGGCATGTCCTGATAAGAGGGAGATATAAGAATCGACCCTATAAGTAATAATAATAATAATGATGATAATAATAATAATAATAATAATAATAATAATAATAATAATGATAAGTGCATGTGATTTTTGTTCCACGTCACTGTTAGACAGTAGGGTTATATTTCTGATATGGACTGACAAAAGAAGGCGGTCCTAAAGATAGGGAATTTGTCATTAACTATGATTCTACATCAAGATTGACATAAAGTTTATTTGCTCCTCTGTTCTTCTCTTTCTTTGGTTTGTATTTTGTGCCCTTGATCTTTCTAAACCACTTCCACTTTCCCGTCTAACAGGAGATGTTAAAATGCAGTAACGGTGAGGGGATGGCTGAGTTGGAGGAGGCTTTAGCCACCATGCTGGACATCATTAAGTCTGTCAATGACTCCATGCACCAGATAGCAATCACTGGCTTTGAGGTCAGTGTACAGTAGTCATCATCATCATCATTAAAGTTTTGAATGATTTACACTGTGAAAACGAACTTGAGTTAGAGGGCTGTTATTCCACTCTCGTTACTCAGCCTCTAATTCACCGTGTGATGTCAACTGACTTGACTTTCTTCACTTTAGAGCAATCAGATTACTATAACTTGTCACCTTCCCGTTGTGGTACAGTCATGTGAAAAAGTGATCTAATGGAAAGTGTTTGCTTTTTGAAATATTTTAGTGAGCAAAATTGGAATCCTCTTTGTCATAGAGCCTATTGATGAACAGGAAACACTGAAACACGTGTTCCAGAATGTGGATGATGGACTTTTTCTAAAAGTGTTTTCCTATGTTTTCTTTCCTATGTTTTTGGGCTTGCTGTGCCATTTGAAAGACTTTTTATCCCTGCCAAGAGCGTAGTTCAAGAAACCTGGAAAAACATGTACATCATAAGATGGATCTATTTAGTTATGCAGTAGTACATGTTTTTGTGATTGAAGTCAGTATCATGTAAACCATTTATTCCCATTAAAACAACAACAAACAATGTCTGTTGCTTACATTTTTAAAAGTCACTGGTCACACCATAAATTCAGTGTTAAAACCTGAATCAAATATGTTTAATCAGCAGATTTTTCTGTTTTTTTCACACTACTAATGCTATTCTTTTCTATTACAAGTTTAGCACTGAATGTACCTAACTAGGGATAAAGTAAAAAGAGTTTTTGGGCAAGTCTCAACAGCTTTTGCACACCCGGGCCCTGTTTCAGGAAGCCGGTTTAGTGCAAACTCTGAGTATGTATACCCTGAGTTAACAAAAACTCTGGGTTTTCGGTTTCACAAAGCGAGTTTAGATTAATTCTGATCGAGTTACTATGACGACACACTCCGTGAAGCTAACCTGCCCCCTAGCAGGTTTACTTCAACTAACCCTAACTTTCTCCGCCTCTTTGTC